CCGCAAACACATCTTATGCCTGGCCAGATTACCGCTATAACAGCACCGAGGATGAAGCCACATCACAGCCGTACTGGTGGTCTAACGAAGCTGAATCGTCAGAGGGCGAAGAGGAATTTGTCAACACTACTCCCAAGGATTATGAGACCAGTGAAGGGAATTTGTCAGCAGTGCTGACGCCAGAGCCCCCCTCTTTCCTTCCTGTGCAAATGGTGCTCACTTGGTTACCACCAAAGCCACCAACGGCGTTTGATGGTTTCCATATCAATATTGAAAGGGAAGGTAAAGACCATTTTCATATCCCTTTTTAGAACTTCGCTGTTGGATTTGTCCTCTTTAAATTATTAGTTCCTTAATGCTGTGCTTCAGAGACAAATAGGTCTCTCTTATTAGGTCTCCTGCATTTCTTAAGAAGTTTTGTATATTGGATAGTATTTCTTTCTGGCTGAGCTTCATAAAAATAAGGGGTGGGGGTAAATCATTGTATGCAATTCTCCTTTGTTAAACAAGATTTATATTAGTATATGTATTGCGGCACTGTTTTCACTGCAGTTATTGTAAATCCATTTCAGTATTGGAGAAAGGAGAAACAAGCAGATAGAAATTTTAGATGAAGAAGGTATATTGCATCATGCAGCCTTGACTGGCTCTGAAAAAAGATTCTCAGAGGGACCTAAACTAGAAAGGGGACTATAGAAAAGACTGTCTATATACGTATTAGCAGTCGTCTCAGTGGGCAGCTACAGAACATATTCCTTTGGCCACAAAATGGTTGTGATGGAGAATGGAGAGACTTTTCAAGGTACACAGCAACAAGAAAATAACTATGTCACTTAGAGATTTTCTATTTTAATATCTTTTCTCTCCAAGTGAATTTTACTTCCATGGCAAGCAGTTTTGATAATCTTTCCCATGCTTAGAGCAAATATGTTTTTGCAGAATAATAAAGCATATTAACTGGAGGCTCCTTTTCCTCTATGCTGTGCTGTTTTTCCTTTGTGCAGTCACAGCAATCCTATTTTATTAACCCTGATACTAAATGAAGTTTTGGGCAGGGTTTATTGTTCCTTTACAGCTATCTGGCAACCTTGGTCATTAATTACTCTTGTGTTGATGGCAAAAAATAAAACTACCTGCATAAATCCAGTCTGTTTCGGTACCTTCTAATCCCAGAGCAGAAACAGTGTTAGCATTTCTGACATAAATCTTTTTTTTTCTAGCAGTTTTGACATTAATCTTTTTTTTTTCTCCCTCAACTTTCTTTGAAATTTCAATTAATCCATACTACTTCTTTCTCCTGATTTAGAGAACTCCACAGAATTTCTGACAGTAAGCGAGGATACGCACAAATTTGTTGCTGAACTGAAAGAACCAGGGAAATATAAGTTGTCTGTAACAACATTTAGTTCTTCTGGCTCTTGTGAAGTTCGGGAAAGTCAATCAGCAAAAACACTCAGTTTTTACAAAATTTCAATTAATCCATACTACTTCTTTCTCCTGATTTAGAGAACTCCACAGAATTTCTGACAGTAAGCGAGGATACGCACAAATTTGTTGCTGAACTGAAAGAACCAGGGAAATATAAGTTGTCTGTAACAACATTTAGTTCTTCTGGCTCTTGTGAAGTTCGGGAAAGTCAATCAGCAAAAACACTCAGTTTTTACATCAGTAAGTATCTCAGCAAATCTCTTTCACCCAGACCAACGTAACTATAAAGTACAAGGTTTTGATGAGTAAAACCCTGTAGCAACTGTGGCCTCTGCTGAAGTATCAGCAGAGTTTGGTCTCTGGGAATTTCTCTATGCCAGAGAAGGAAATAAAATGGGAATATGTAAGTGAAGCTACCCATATGGACCTGGATCATGCTGTCTCGACAGAGCTGAGAACTGAAAGCTGGGGAGGTTTCCCATAGAGCTGTTGTCACAGTAAGTTCAGAAGAGGGTCACTGAGACTCAACCCCTTCTTGCATCTTTCAAGCAAAGAATAAGAAAATGAAAGTAGTGGTTGTAGGGAATCTTGAAAATATTTAACATTCTTACTCCTAGAGACTGTATGCTTTGGGGCAGGGACAAAGCGTAAGGCAGTCAAAGGACATGTCAGGCTTATGTATATCCCTATTAAGAAAAGATGTCTTTAGTAGCTCACAAATGCTAACTCTTTGGGCTTAAATTCCTCATAGTGGTTAGCTACACTTAACTGAATTCCCATCTTTCTATTTTTAACAACTTTACACCTGAAAGATACAGTTTTTAGAAAATAGAGAATAATTTTTTTCTGAAAGAAAACTGTAGGATTTAGGGATTGCTAGCTCAAGAATGAACTTGAATCTTACTGGGTGCAAAGTATTAAGAAGTCATGTGATTAGAATTAATATTTTTATTTTACTTGTAGCATATAAAGGAGGGGATTTTATTTTTCAGTGAAGTCTGCGCTAGTTTTGCAGGCTTTCAGTTATTTAGTTTTAGTTATTGTTTCACAATAACTGCGGGTATCCCATTTATCCTAACAAATTCAAGATCCTGAGTATTTTAGGTGGATTTTATGTGTGTTTCTGATGATATGCCAAAGGTGAGATGTAAAAGAATGTGATTAAAGTGAAATGACTTTTCCTTTCTGATGGTCTGATCAACCAGTCCTTGCGCAGGAACCACAATTGTGGTTTGGGACATTAAGGTATGGTAGCAAAGTTATCTTGATGACAATGTGGGAAGAATTTACGAACAATAAGAACAAAAGAATAAATATTCTGTGGCTCCAGAGACCATATGATGATTGCATTTTTCTTTTGACCAGAGTAGTGCCTACTGTCCAGAATAAGTTGTGCTCACAGCTTCACCCTTATTGTACCCTGTTTTCTTTCAGTCAGAGAATCATCCTGACGATTTACTGGCTTGTAGTACTCAACATTTTTGTTGTACCCAAGTAGTGTCTGGATTGTTAACAGTTATAGGTTGATCTTACACTAAACTCATTTTTTTGTTGTTGTTGTTGTTGTTGTTTTTCTTGATAAACTAAAAAAAAAAGAATTCTATGCAATGAAGAAAGGTTGGAGAGACAACTGTCAAAAATAATTACTTAGAACTTTAAGAAAAGTTGGTAATTTTCACGAAATCTGAAATTTTGACCAAGTTTACCTGAAGTTATTTTCCAAATTGTTGTTTTGTCTATATTCAACCTTTTGTTCTGAGGGAGCCTGAGGGAGAACGAGACTTTTCAGTGTGGCAACATCTACGAGTCAATTTTCACACTCCACTGCCACAGTACACTTGGGGGTGTTTTAGTGCATAGAGAAGGGAAACATTTGGTGTGCCTATCCTCCAGTAATTGTCAAGAATCTGTACATTAAGGGATGTCACTGTTTTTAAAATGTGGCGCAAACCTGGTATTTCTGGGTGGTTCCAGGTAAGCAGTAGGAAATGCTGCATTGTTAATTTTCGGAAGAGTAACATATCTCTTGTCATCTCCTGCTTGGCTGCAAGTGCAATAGCACTGGCTATGGGCTGTATCCCTCAGGCTGCTCTTAGCTGCTTGCAGGCTAAGCCAACAGACATCTCAGTCTCTTTCATTCATAGTGAATAATCTCATGAAGGAAGAACGTTTTTGCACAAGTGCCCTCTAAATAAAGAGTAGAGGGAACCATGTGCTTTTGTGGTGTGTTGCAGGCCCCACAGGGGAATGGATAGAAGAGCTGACGGAGAAGCCCCAGCACGTGACCGTGACAGTTCTGAGCTCCACAACTGCCCTGACATCCTGGACAGCCTCACAAGAGAGCAGCAGCAACGGTACCATCGTGTCCGTCGTCTCTTTGACCTGTCAGAAGCAAAAGGAAAGCCAAAGGCTTGAAAAACATTATTGCACTCAGGTAAAGGGCATAACTGAAGCTTCTTCAAATACCATGAAAAGAAAATACCATCGCTAGTCATCCCGCTGCTTGTTATCTTAGACCCCAAGGGCCCTGTCATGCTAAGGACTGGAAAAGCACAGTAGTTGACCACATCTTTTAAGATCTAAAGAGATAAGGCTGGGGAGAGTGCAGCATGCAAGAATGGGCAGTGCGCAGGAAACCGTGCTGGAGTTGCATTTCTGCTGGGCTGAGTGGTTCCAACCCCTTGTTCAAGCTGTGAATTCTGCTGCACCATTAAAGGCCTTCCTGTGGCAGGAAATAGTACCACATCATGATATAACACTTAAGCACACTCTCTAACCCATTTTACTAAGGAAAGTTTATTCCTGCACAGTTATCATAAAACTTGCTTCAATTTATTCTTATATTTCCTACATATGAATACAGAAACTGACTCTAAACTTTGAGAAAGTTTAGGTGTTTTCAAACTACCTGTGGCCTGAATGCTTTAGGGCAGCAATGCTTTAGGGCTGCCGTATGGGTCAGGTACATGATGATAAAGAATCCTGAACTCCAAAGCCCAACACCTTTCTGTTACTGGGAACCAGTAGTGGTTTCAACCCCATGTCAGATCCTAGGGTCATGATGGCTTAGTGGGTTGTAGCTTCAGTTAGAAAAAGGTTTTAACCCACGTATCCATTTCCTTGCTTGAATGCTTGCAGTTCAGTTTTCTGGGCAGTGCCACAGCTTCGGCCCAGCTCCCTAGATGTGTGGGACTGATGAGTTTGAAATGCCTGCAGTACGGCCCTTAGTGCACCCATGGGAATGGGAGAGGAGAGTTGGCAAAGCTTGTAAATCTTCATCTCCTTTAGCTTGAAATTAGCCATTCAAGTTGAACTAGAAATGAATTATTGATAAGAGTTTGCATACTTTACAGGCCTCCATTAAAATAAATCTTTGTTTTGGGTTTTATTTCAAGAGTGGTTATGAACTGGTACATTTGGAGGTCTTTACATGAAGATTTGAGAAGTGTTTCTTCAGAGAAACTTTTTTTTTTTTAAGAGGCAATTTAATCAGGAAGTAAAACAATACAGTAGATGATTACAAATTAGATATCACAGGTATAAAAATATTTGATTAAAAGATATATTGTGGGAATCATCTATGCATTCAAATACATGTAGTTACATAAAACCTGTCCATGAATAATCAAGATATCTTTTGTTTATTTCAAGTAAGTAGAAAGTAAATACCATTATTTGTTTCTTTTTGTCATTAAAGGTATTCTTACCACCACTAATCAGATGTTACCTGATTATTATACTTGGAATTATTAATTCCTCCCTGACAAGCTGAAAAGAGAAAACTTCAGAGCAAAGTTCAATCTCTTTCGGCCATTGTTCATGAATCAAAAGAGATTTATCTTTCAAAAGCAGCTGTTAAATTCCATTCATCACCTGGCCAGGCATCTGCCTCCGGCTTTAAGCAATATCTGGCACTTCAGAGCAAAAGTTTTAATGCTGATGTTTCAAAATGAAAAAATGCCACAAGCTGCCCTACTCAGGATTCGCCATGCTGGGCAGGAGAAAGGAAAGCAAGCAATTCCTCTCTGATTCCAGCATGCAGTCGTTTAACATTTGCATTCTGAAGACAGGACACCCGTAACCCTGACACGAGCTCACGCAGCTGCAGGTGAATCAGACGGCCAGTGAGAAAACTCAAGCATTTTTCAAAAACACACTGTCTATACACTCCAACCTGAATTTCAGCCTAAATAGTATCCCCTGAATATAAATAATATAGCCTGGATATTTCAATGGACTTTAATACTAAGAAAAAAAATGGTGCTCTACTGTCACTGAGATGCAATGTAGCACATTTAAGTGACTACTCACCACTTTCCCAATTTTATCATTTTGGGTCTAATGGATGGAACATTAGACACTGAGCTCAGAATCATTAATTTTGTGACTGAGGTAGTTCAAATATCATTTCAAGCGTCTTTTAATTCATTAAGTAAATGCTTTATATCTGATGTGTTCCTTTCCTACTAGGTGAATTCCAGCAATAGCCTCATTGAAAATCTTGTTCCTGGTGCCCAGTACCAGGTTGTCGTTTACTTACGGAAAGGACCATTGGTTGGACCACCTTCTGATCCTGTTAAATTTTCCATTGGTAACCCCTACATCTACTGTTTGAACTACCTTTTCTTTCTTTCTTTCTTTTTTTTTTTTTAATAGCATACATATTATGGCTTAGAGGCCATTAAGGAATGTGTTTGGAGCTGTTTTATTGGTTATTTCAGATGCAATAAACCTTTACAGAGACTCTTTTCTTGGAATGCCTAGTACTGAGGGCTTCCTTCAGTGGAAGATGGACATTTTCTGTTTAGACGTTAGGTGTTTAAAATAACTAAGGAAGAATTATGGCTAGCATACAAGCGCATAGGGGCCCTATGGAAAGGCCTGTCTCCATCTTTGCACACACCCAAATATATGTTAGTCTCTAGCTATGCTCATGGTCTCTATCACTGCACTTAGGCATAACCAGCCTAACTTGAGGGTACTGTCTGGTCAATAGCATCTCCGGTAGACCATTCATTGCCGTTTCCCATGGAATGTATGGGAAATGTATGGGCATTAGGTCATGTGGTACAAATATGCTTTTTTGAGGGATGTAGTGGGGCCTAGCCTAAAGGCCACTGTGCTAAGAATCAGGAAAGCTGGCTTGTCGTCTGTGGTACCGCACAACCATGACTCAATAAATGTATTGTGTATACATATATTTTATTGAGTTTAAAAATGGATCTCGATGTACTGCGCTTTGAGGTCTGGAGATGGAAAGAATGCTGTAAGAATGAGATTGGCTTTTTCCAGAATGTCATTTTGTGACCCAGAGGCAGAGCTTTTCCCTAACTGCCTATAATTCAAGATTCCATGAATCTTCTAAATAAAAAGAAGGCACTTAGTGCACTTAGATTTGGTGTCTTTTAGTTTCAATGTCATCTCTTTTATTAAAATTATCACTTTAACAAATTATAATAGGAGGAGAAAGGGCGAAGAGAAAGGGAGTCAGTGTACAGAATTACATTTTTAGAGAAATATTTAACCTGAGTGATCTAGTGTCTCTTTTTGACATATAGTCTGTCTTGTCATAGAATGAATCATAGGATCATAGAATGCTTAAGGTTGGAAGGGACCTCTAGAGGTCATCTAGTCCAACCCCCCTGCACACGCAGGGTCACCTAGAGCACGTGGCACAGGACTGCATCCAAGCGGGTTTGGAAGATCTCCAGAGAAGGAGACTCCACAACCTCTCTGGGCAGCCTGTCAGAAAGCCAGTGGCAGAAAGTCAGAGATCTTTCTTTGTTATTTTTTGCTCTTCTGTTATTTGCTTTTGTTATTTTTTCCACTTCCTTTCTGTGATATAGGGAAGAAAGTGAAACAGAAAAAGATGATTAACCTATTAAGAGTTGAATCCTGTAAATTACAGCAGATATGTGAACTAGTGAATATGGTGAGAAGCAATGTCCTCATATGCTTTCCTAAGCTGGGCCCAAATAAGAATTTGAAAAGACAGTATCATATATTTTAGTAACGGAAAAATGGTATGTAAATAGACATAATATATATACTTTTTTATTAAAATATATACCATTGGATAACTTTTTAAAGTGCTTTTTTTCCTTACTTCTTTTTTCTTACTTCAGAAATTCTTTTTTTATTTTCATCTGAGAAAGTAAAATAATATATTCCCAAAGCAAATAAATTCTCTCATTTCTCTACTTTTATGTAGCCTCAAAGCCATAAAAATCAATTCTAAACAAAATGCCTTATTGTTGTGGGTTTTTTTATTATGAAAAGGATGCTTTATGGAATAGAAAAACAGTTGTATGAATATGAGTTTTCATTTCGTTACAAGATATTGAGCTTTATATGAGAATAGCAAACTGCACAATAAACAGATCTGCTAATTTATTGGCAGTGTGTAGTGATGAATGAAGCTGGAAAAAAAAAAAGAAAAATAAACTTTAAAAAGAATAGAGTTCACCCTGTGTTTACCCTAAGGCTCACTTTCACCGGGTAGGTGTGAATACTTTAGAGAGAGGTCAGAAAAGATGTGATAAATGAGGACTGATTTATGAAGGGCAAAGCAGTCATCTGTGCTAACATGGGCTGAAGTAATCTGGGTGTTGTTCTTGGCGCACTAACCCAACGTGCAGTAGCTGGAGTTCTGCAGTCCTTGCAAATGTTAGCTGCTGAGTACATCCTTAAGTAGCCTCACTGAAGTTGAGAAGAATAATTGCTTTCCAGACAAGTAATGGTTGCAGAATTTGACCCGGTAGTGACATTTTTTCAAATGATTTGACTTCTCACTTTCTCAGTTTCCTCATCTGCAAGGCAAATATAGCAATATATCACAGCATCCTCAGATTCCCCAGGGAAGAAGGGGTAAACATAAAAAGTGTTCGCTCTTATGACATTTATCTTCCAAACTGTTGTGATTTTTGTTCCTTTTGGTTTTGAGCATGAGATTAAAATAGCACCTAAACAGCCGAATTTTCAAAGAAGTAGAATGTAACACTCCAGTTACGAAAAATCAGTCCTTCCACTTTAGCTCAAGCAAGGCAGCCAGCACCAAGTGATGTTGAGCAATTTCTGAAAATTAGACCTTAAACTGGAGAACAAATGCTGAAAAATCGTTGTAGATTTGCTTGTGACAAGGTGCTAGGACAAGAATTAAACAGTCAAGAGCAAACCCAAAATATATTGAACTTGGTTAAATAAAGCTTTAACATAACTATGTGGTTAAAAAAAAAGTAATTGATTAAAAAAAAACACAACTAAACACTGTTTCTGGTCTCTAAAACACTTTTCTGGTCTTTAGTGCCCACTGGAATAAAGGATTTGACGCTTTACCCTTTGGGACCTACTGCTGTGGTTTTGAGCTGGAACAGACCTTTCCTTGGGGTGTTCAGGAAATATGTTGTAGAAATGTTTTACTTCAACCCATCAACGATGACCTCAGAGTGGACAACCTACTATGAAATAGCAGCAACCATCTCCTTAACCGCCTCAGTGGTAATGTGACCATTACTGACACTTGCTTTCCCATATGTGTATAGTTTTGGCACTCCGTGATGTTTCTTTGTCCAGCTTTTTCCCCATGTATATGTATATACACCTTTACACCCTAAATATTTTCCCAAGCTAAATAAAGAAAATGACTGGGATGCTAGAGGCATTTTCTCTTCTCAAGTAAAGAATGACAACTAAACCATGGTGAAGATTTCCATGCCTTTCTAGAGAAGGTGAATAGATTCCAGTCAGACTTTGCCCTTGCACAAAACTGTGAGGTATTTTTGCTGAAATTACTTGTTCAGAATGTTATGAGTGCAAAAAGGATAGCAATAGCTTTTTGTGCTTGTGAAAGCTGTAGTGATTTACAGTATTTCATTTGCATAATGCCGTTTGTGTAGTCATTTTGGCTACAGAGGCTTAACTATAATTGGTACGGGACTATAAATTTGCCACGAAAATCTCCAAGGAAATTAAAAGCAAAAATAGTTTACCAAATGAGTAATTAATATATTGTAATCATGACTCAGCACAACTAGATTAATACCTGAGTGATGCAAGTCATCTTGGAAGTAATACTGTCCTCAGGAGTTAATGTGGTTCAATAGAAAATGAGATCATTATTGTTGCAAATCCTGCCCATAGAAACCAAGGGAAGTTGGAACTCCTTTGTCTGAATTCAGTCTGAAATACGGTGGTGCTATATTGCAGCTAAAGTGCGTGTTTCTTAAAAAATAATAGTCTAAATTAGAAATGGATTTTTTTTCCCTGTTTCTCTGTTATGGCATTTAGCAAACAAGTATGTTCTGGTGAGCTTTTCTTTGGGTTTCCTAGCAGTAATCCAAATAGTTTGTGTCAGAATGCCATTAGGTCCCACGGATTTGCCTATAATCATTAAATCATTTGGCCTCTAAGTAATATATTCTGGAGCAATGGTATCAAGCCCAGAGAGGAGGCCAGGGACTCAAAAATCAAATTACCTGACTTTGATCAGAAAATATTTCCTGAAGGGTTATCAGATAGCCAGGAGTCTTGGATTACTTTGGATTACCTCTCTCTTGGTTGGTACATTTTGTGCTTTGCAGTGTATTTTAAAATAGTCAAAGCAACATTGGTATTGTTAAAATGCACTCTGGGGCATGCCAGGCAACTCTAGGCAGCTTCCTGGTTTCAGTGTTAATTAGATAACCCTTTTCTAAAAAACATACAGGGAATATTGTGCAAACCCTGTATTCGAGTTGTCTTGTAGCATCTGAAAAAACAGGCCCTGCGATCAGCAAAGTTCTTTGAAAATGGTATTTTTAAAATTTCATATAGATTTTCATTATTTCCGATTTGCTTTAAATTTGAATTACAAAAATATAATAGGATTTTCCTTTAAATGTGAAATTAGATATTTGAAATGTTTTGTGCTGTATTTCAAGTATTTGATTTTTAATTTAAATATTACAAATGACATTGCATTATAAAATACATTGTATTTTATACTTCATTTATATCTCATTTATATTTATATATATATAATTTAGATCTCATTTATAACTCATATTTCATTCATGTATCATTCATAATAAATGATAATACAATATGAAATGCACTTTGAAAATGGAAAAAAGTTTTTTGAAGTGGCATCTGAGTGAGAAAAAAAAATTGAATTTATCCTTTAAACACATTTAATTGAAAAAGAAAAGCCCACATACTCCGGTTAAGTATATCGCTTCCATCAAATCTGAACCTTTTTGGCAGAAAAAATGTTCTGTGGGAATTCTTCTGACTGCCTTGGAAATCAGAGAAAGGTTCCGATGTAGAGGGACCTGGAGCACAAATACGTGGATGAGCAGCAGAACTGTCACAACCATGTTTGGTCTCCGTGCACAGATTTTTGAATAAACACAAGCCCCAAATTACACAGGTTCACTAGACTTGATAACAATTTCACATGAGCAATACTTAAATGGACCATAGGATCACGATTTTCCAAAAAATTCAGTGTTCATGGGTGTCTGGCTTGAGTTAGGCAAGACAGGGGAGCAGGTTATTACGGTTTTGCTAATGCATTTGCTTTGGTCCTGTTTGCCTCTCAGTCGTGTAAAGCTTAACAATTCCCCCAAATTCAAGGGGAGGCGAGGGCAAGATGAGGCGTGAAGAGGGAGAGTTCAGTAAAGCTGTGCCGGCCCACGCGTGTAGACATGTAACGTGTGTGCTGTCTGTCTTGCCTTGCCCTGGTGACTTCTCTCCTGAGCCGCTTGTCCTCTTTGTCACTTCACAGAGAATAGCCAACCTGTTGCCTGCCTGGTATTACAATTTCCGGGTTACCATGGTGACCTGGGGAGACCCGGAGCTGAGCTGCTGTGACAGCTCCACCATCAGCTTCATCACAGGTAAGCACTGGTGCCACAGCTGGTCTGTGGAGATGCTCCTGGGAGCAGAAGTGCTGGGACAGCCTGGCTTCACTGCTCCCAGATATTTGCCAGTTAGGGTATTTAACAGCTAAGCTTTTGCTTTTCCTTTTTTTGGCTCTTAAGGTCAGCTTTAAGGACCACTTTAGTTCATTCTGTAACATTTTCCTATGCAAAGTATAGTGGGTTTTTTACTGTGTTCTTTCATCAGCTGTGCATCCGGCTCCAGTGAGGG